CTACTAGTAAGGCACTTGTTACTACTAGTAAGGCACCTGTTACTCCTAGCAAGGCACCTGTTGCTACTAGTAAGGCACTTGTTACTACTAGTAAGGCACCTGTTAGAACAAAAACACTTCAGAAGATTGAAAACCTGGAGCTCCATCCACGCTGCCTCGTTGTAGATGTTCAGGTGCTCGTATGAGGTTGGAGCCAATGACATCAGCTTTAGCCTCACTGATCAGTTGTGGCTGACTTGTGGTGCGGCATGATCATGCATGCCGCACGCCGTGCATGCTCCGAGCACTTCACCTTTGCTCAGGAATGCCAAAGGCCTTGAACTTCGCGATGAAGGTGGCCTGCCGAAGCCCCTATTACTTGTATGGAAGTGGACACGTACAAAACACACAAAATCAAATGACTTAGTGGGTTGTACATTAAACTATATATATAAACACAACAATGACTCTTCTGTAGTGCTTAAAATAGCAAAGAAGTGCACCTGGCAAAGCAATGAGCTGCAAATAATGTGTCTCTACTACTTTTGGGCCAGTGCACCTGGACATCTGGCGAGTAGAAGCCCTTATTCTTCACGAGCAGCCTGCTGTTGGGGACCTGAACAAATAGAAAGCAACAAGAGAAAAGGTCAGGTCCTCTTTGATAAGGCTTCTTTTCAAGGCGCACCATCTGATGGACACGGACGCCGCCATCTGAACATCCTCTTACATATCCCGTTCGCACGTTGGTTGAGCAGCTTCAAACAATCATCGCGACAATGGCACCCAATGGTTTTGCCACAAGTTGGCCTCCCTCAATTTTTTCATTTGTCAAGTTTACCTCCCATTTTCAGAATCTATAACATTCTATGTTAGCAGTATGATGGAGTATGTATGTAGTTTCGTTTTTCACCAAGCTCGAACCCAGCCTCGTGCAAACATCTCGCCCAAAGCGCCACTACTGGATCACCCACCTTCGCCAGGCAGCTGAAACCTCCATGCGAATTAGCCGCATGCCGTGTGCAACCATTACGAACATTAGCTGTCTCTGTCTGAGAATGCCATAAGCCTGCAGTGGATTTGCATCACCCCACTTTCAACTTGCCAACAGAAATTGAAGGATTTAGGTCAAGAAGAGGATGATTCAGGATGATTATCAAGTGCTGCCTGCAAAACCAACAACACCCAAGCACAAGTGACGACTGCCTTATATTATGTGTCATTGCAAGCAATCGTGCTCTGAGATGGGGACTGCCGAAGGTAACGAACCCATTGCGGAGGGCAGGGAGCTCCCTTGGTTGAGTGCAGGACCTGTTTTTGTTGGAGCAAGGAAAGGCACTAGGACTAGGCCTTTTGGATCCTTTTATATAGCAGCATTCCGTAAAGACCTTCCAAAAAGGTATTGAGGACTCTTTTCGAAAAACACCGGCCTATGAAATACAGGTTGTGGCTGTGCGAAAGGCTAAAGCATGCAACAAGCTCAGGTCGCAGCTGAACGTCAGGGATCGCTGTTGGTGGTGTGTAGCACAAAAAGCACCTTGAATGCAGGGCATCTTCTTTGAGTCATCCAGGTATCATCGATCCTTGTTATGGATACATCCAACGACTCAGCAAAAAGGATCTTCCGTGTTTATTTTCCAAACAAAGTGTTCGTGGGAGCGTCTTGTTTCATCTAAAGACCTGTCCTGCTTTACTTAGTGTGAGACCCTGGAACTCGCACCAGCTCCTCACTGAATGGCTGCGTGGTGTCCAACCTGCAAGTGTCACGGGCAAAACTGGGGTCCAGGCCCAGGATGGGAATGTGAATGTATGTAGAAACAGCAAAACTACCTTTATATAGCTGTTTGTATGTTTTCTTTGTTCATACCTTTGAAGAAGTCTTGGCATTGTTTTAATTCCTTGCTACCCCTTTTTTGGGGAGGCATCGTCTACATGCGCAAATCCAAGGCAAGGGGACATCAACTCTAGGTTTCCAACGGATCAACGATCTCATCCACCAATCGGTAGTCAATGGCGCCAAGCCTCGAAAATGCCCAGCAAACACCTCTTGATGGCTCTTACGAGAACTTCTTCTGTATGAAGTATGATTATGACGTATTGTGAATGTATGTCCTTTTTGACACAATGCAACGGAACTCTGGAAGCGTCAACAGCTTTCAGGTGTCCGCCCGGTGGTATTGTTATAGCCAATGTAGGTGATCCTGAGCATCAGTAGGTTGGCCGTTTCTTGAAGAATTGTAAATATGAGGCTCTCTTGCAATCGCCATTTACTTCCAGCACTTCTTGATTTACCTCCAACTCTGCACTTGCAGCATCTTTCAGCCACAAACACTTTCAACCAATTTTGAGTTACAAAGGCTACACACCAACCCAGCTGTGATCCCACGAGTCCCAGGATGCGGCTGGACAGGTGCTGGTTTCCTCAGACAAGTTGAAAGACTAGAACAAATCATGAATCATGGGCGATAGCATTTGGCAAGATTTCGACTGACCAAGGCAGATGTGCTTGAATGATGTGATTGCTTTGCGACCAGCTTTCATATGACAAATCCAAAAGCCGGCTAGCAGCTATAGCAACAAATGTAAATACATTATGCAAACACATTGCAGCTCTGCGGCAAAGCGATCACATCAAGACGGTTGTTGGCCGTGTGTCCTGAATTCGACACAGCGCGAGCAAACGGGCGCTGAGCACGGCAGCATTGGCCTGCGAGCTCCACCAGGATGTCGATCTGATCTGCTCTGATTAGCTCGGAGGCCTCTGAGTGGACTTCCACGGACTGTAGACTGTGGAGTTGCGCATTTGGCCGGCTTATCAACACTTATATATTATATGTAGCTCTTAGTCAAAATCTTGACAGCACATGCAAGCGTCTGCCCAAACTGCTGGGCAACTAAGAGGACGTGCACAACAAGGTTGTCGCTTTAGACGGGGCCTATCGCTTTTAGACGGGGCCTATGGCCTTGATATGTAATTTCACTTTTTGCTTTTTCTAGGGGGACCTCTGAAATTGCTGGTTGTGGCAGTTGCAGGTGTGGCAAACTTGTCCTAAGACAAATCCTTGCTTCCCCTCATGACTTGCACAGGAGAAAAGATGTTTGTCAGGCCAGGGCCCTGGTCTTCAATGACCAGTGACGAGGGGATGCTACCATGTTCGCAAAAGGTTTAGAAATGCCACTCTCTACCAATGCAGTATGAAGATTGTGTCCCCTCACTTTGCTTAACTACCCTCGCAGATCCCTTGGCTGGCCTAAAGTTCATTTACCTCGTTCTCCTTATTTCGACAAACTATGACAAAGCTTAGCAGTACCTGTCCTGTCCCTATTCGCAGCGAAATACCGCGTTAGGTGATGGACCGGTGGACCGGCCAAGGCTCCAGCGTCAACGGCAGACATTCCAACGACCTTCCTCCAGCGATGTGCTGGCCTTGGAGACTTGCGAGACGGGACTCGTGTGGCGTGGAGACTGGATGTGGTGGCGGTGTGGCGGTAGTCTACCAGAACTCATGGGAGAACACTGTAAGTTCTACCCAAACTAGCCAGAACTGGAGGCATGGTAGTGCATGTGCACACATTCATGAGCCATCTTGATTTACCCTTGGAACACGGCACTAAGCTCTTGAACACCTCCGTCTTGTCGTCCTCCCTTGTGGCATTTGAGTAGATGAAGATTTCAAACTGCTCCTCAGCATGGGTCGAGTCAAGCTAACGTAAGGAACGAGGTTCTTTTCAGAGTCGGGCTGTATTGGCATGCTCCAGCAAGGCATGGACAAAAAAGGAGACCTGCGCAGTTTCAGCAATCAAATTCGGGCTTTGCTCTGCCAGTGGGCTGCCTTCACACTTTTGAGGCTGTGACCGAATGATGGAAAAAGTCCGGGGAGATGTATCTGCCAACGTTTACGTTCATCCTTGTGAATCACAGAATGACATAGAACCAAATGGGTTGTGCCGCACCCTAGTCGGAGTTGTCGCTGAGGAACCTGACAGGGTGGTGATAGACACATGGACTGGCTTCTTGGGAGTGTTGACCAATCTCACTTGGAACTCACAAAAAATAACATGTTTAGAGAAACTGCAACAGCACCTTGGAGTTCGGCCAGCTTGTATGTGGAGAGCCAACCTACCAAAGCTCTCGCACGCTCGTCGAGTGTCCCAAAACGAGACACACCCAGTGCACCAAATTTCTCAGCACAACAAGCTACTGAGATCCTACTGCAGGCCTCACGGCAAAAGCGCTCAGCCCACGCACTGTGGGCCTGACCATTCGTTACAAAAGGCATACAATCTCGTGTAAGGCCAAGGGGACCAGAATCAATGTGTTTTCGGATTTCATCGCTACTGCAGCGGCAGAAAACTGCCAGCAGGTGTATCTTCTCGCTCATGCTGTCTAGGCCAGCCCATTTTCGGGCCCTAGCTATGCCTGTTGCACTTCTTTGATGCTTCAAAGCATGCTCTGATGTTGACCTATCTACTAACTACATCCGAGCCATCTTTGTGGCGACACGACACATTAGCAAATGCAGCCAAGGCAAGCGGCAACCCCAATATGAAATAGGATGCCTCAGGTCACTGATCAAATGGAGTTGAAGCCCATGTTGCCTGCTCTGGATGTCTAACAAATAGCTATGGCTGCCGATATCCGACCCAACAGAACTCTTTAACAGGCTTTTCTGCACCAAGGGTCCTCCAATGCAGTCCTTGTATCAAAGCCTGAGAGGCAAACACAGAGTCCGCCCCTGAGACTCAATTTGTCTTGACATTGTTTTGACGCTTTGCTTCAAGACCGGCAAGCATTTGGTGTCGCTCCATAGATCCGTAGAACTTGGCATCTTGGCTTACAAAAGCTCCTAGAAGAAATAGGAAGAAATACTTCACATTTGATTTATATAGTTGAATCGAGCTATTGATTCCAGCTGTGGCGCTCAATCACTGGCACATCTGGTTGACCATCTCCGGTGACCCAGAACGCTGCATCGCCTGGAGCGGTTTCTAGAGCTCTGTTGATACACCATTGATGCCATGAGAGGTTGGATCAACATTTCGAACGTGTGGCTGTTCCATCATCAAGTTTGTCAGTCCCCTACTGTTTTCCAGGGCTTGGAGCATCCTTGTGAATGTAACACTCTAAGACTCTAAGGCATTTGATTGCATTTGTCGAGTGGCTAAAGGGCTCAATCTGAAGATCACTGGGATCTAATCCCACTTCTGACGCAGCTCTGCGCAAGTCCTTGCGGGAGCGAGTGGATCGCGTGGGTTCAACGCCGTGAGGATCTTCACGTTCCGGTCGTGTCGTGTCAACGCCTCGAAGTGGTTTCATCGCGTCTGAAATGACTCTGTCGGCTTCTGTCAGCAGTTGTGCGCCGGTGTGCTAACTCGGACCTCTATTCTTGACCCCATATTCCTTCATACCAGGGACCCATTCAGCATCATCCAGCACGAGCAAAATGATTGTGCAATCTTGCAGAGCCTCTAGAATGAGGTTAGAACCACGTTGCACAACTGCCAGAGCTCCTTGTCATCGTGGAGCTCTTCCACTGCCTACAAGAACGGTCTTCGTGATATCAAGATCTCCACCATTCATAGGCACTGTAGAACAAACATCTCTAGGAATCTATGGTCCAAAAGGAACATCAAGGAACAACAGGTCTGGATGTTTCACAAACTGTCCACCATGTCTCTCTCAAAGCTCGTCTCAGCTCTTCTCCTTGAAGGCAAGGCCACAAAGAAAGCCGGCGAACAAGGCCAGTAGCAGGGTAGAGCACAAGCTCAACATCTGGTCAAACGGAGCCTTAGAAGCCAAGGAGTCCCAAACCGTTTGAGTCACACTGGAGTGCCGAGCGGCAATCCCAGTGTCACTGTAGAATAAAGGAGAGAAGGCCGAGAACGCACCTGGGCACACTGTCTGTCATCCTGGCATATTGAACATCTTGAACCGATGAAATCCGATAAACCTCTTTCTCTCTGAGGCAAATCTGAGGCAAAGGACCGCCTAAGATTCCTGGGAGGCCGTGCAAGTTGTGAATACCACCTCAGCACAGCTCAGCACGGCTCAGCTTTCTGAGTGCATCTGATGTTTCCCAGGCACAAGTGTCAATTGCACGGAAAAAGGGCAGGCGGGCGAAGGCGACCGTCGACCTTGGAGGGTCATGCAAGACTAGTCAAACGGGTGGAACTAACAGCATACTTCGTTCTTGTTGGCATCCAAGGGCCCGGCAAAGCGCCTGCTGCCATTCCCAAAGCACCGGCACCAAACCTCTCAATCTGCCAAATCTATAGTCTACTACAGATGTCTACAGGTTGTTTTGGAACTTCGCTTTGCATGAAACCGCACATCATAGGCTGATTGGTGAGGCTCTAGCGGGCCCACAATGCCGGCCGAAGCACCAATCGTGACGCCTGAAACTGCACTGTGGTGGAGCGAAGTCAAAACTCACTAAGTCACTGTTGACAAAGGTTGCACCTCAAAACAAGGTCATCAACGCCCCACCACATATCGGGATATTGATGGATATTGGGCTGAGTATCTCTTTTGCCTGCCTCAATGAGACGAACCCCTGATTGATGGATAATGATAGATAGATTGAAAGACCAAACTTCCAAGATATGGAAAAAGAGGTCCAAGTCCAAGTGAAACCTTCAGGAGCTTAAGATGTACAAGTTCTTCTTCCCGCAAAGATATCCACGTTCAACCGGATTCTTGGGCGAAAGGAAGTCCCGCATCGTCTGACCGCTTGAACCATCAGGGAACTTGTCCATCGATAGTCTCCTTTTAACATCTTCTAACTAGAAAGATAAGCCATAAGCCCCTTGTTATACGCTCACCCTACACACACCCTTAAAGAGTGTTTTTTCATGTTTCTTCTGGATATGTCTCGCAGTTGCCAGGCTTATGCCTCCAGCCAGCGTTGCATTCTGCACCGCTTGGGTGCCAATCTTCCCATCCTGGGATGGTCGTGCTCTCGGACATCTACGCTGACCTGTTCGTTCTTGGGGTTGCACAACACAACAAGATGGAACCCACGAACCCGAATGAATCACACGTTTAACTCAGCACGGTGTCACCGCAAACATAATCTTGTTGTGACACATGTGGTCGCTGCGAGCGCATCATCAGCGACGTGGCAGCCTCGCTTGTGGGACACTCTTGTCGGACACTCTTGTGGGACACTGTTGCGGGACACTCTTGTGGGACACTCTTAAGGGGCACTCTTGTGAGACACTCTTGCGGGACACTGTTGCGGGACACTCTTGTGGGACACTCCTGTGGGACACTCATTTGGGACACTCTTGTGGGACACTCTTGTAGGACACTCTTGTAGGACACTCTTGTGGGACACTCTTGTAGGACACTCTTGTAGGACACTCTTGTAGGAAACTCTTGTGGGACACCCTTGTGGGACACTCTTGTGGGACACTCTTGTGGGACACTCTTGTAGGACACTCTTGTGAAACACTCTTGTGGGACACTGTTGCGAGACACTCCTGTGGGCCACTCTTGTGCGACACTCAAGTCTCAAAAACGAGCCTTTCGTACGAGACTTCCTCCAAAAGTCACACGTCAAGTCTCAAACACGAGCATTTCGTACGAGACTTCCTCCAAAAGTCACACGTCAAGTCTCCAAAACGAGCGTTTCGTACGAGACTTCCTCCAAAAGTGACACGTCAAGGCTCCAAAACGAGCGTTTCGTACGAGACTTCCTCAAAAACTCACATATCAAAGTTTGCAAAACGAGCGTTTCGTACGAGACTTCCTCCCAAAGTCAAGCGGAAACACCCATCGCGCAGCCCTGCCCAGCAGTTTCGCGATTCCCATCCCACTGTGACAGCGACATTCACCTCTACCACACCTCACAACCCCACGATTCCCTGCGCCTGCCACGCATCTTTCCGCGTCCACACGTCTAACGCGCACAAAGTCCTGTGCCTGCCACGAAATGTCACCTCCGTCACACCTCGCCACCTCACGATTCCCTGCGCCTGCCACGCAAATCGCACTTCCACGCCTCAACACCCACACAAAGTCCTGCGCCTGCCACGAAAAGTGCCAATATCATCTCATGTGAGCTTCAACAAAATTTACACCACACCACACGTTTGGAATGATTTCGACCCGTTGTGAGCACACTCCCATCCACCAAAATCACCATTTCAGCTGAGACTTATCACGAAAACACCGCCTCGATGCCACACCCTCACACGCAAATCCCAATGGCACGGCCACATCCAACACCCCAAAAACACGACTCTCCAAACGCTAATCCCAATGGAACTGCGCAGCAATCTGCGGATCTCACAAAACGCTGCGCCTGTGCAGCGACGTGCATCACGTTTCTTGCGCGACATGTCCGTGTCACGCAAATCACAATGGAATAGCGGTGCAAACTGACACGCGACACATCCATGCAAAGTCACTTGCAAAAGCTTCCCCCAATGGCAGCAAATTTGAGACGCGACGACGACAGACAACGAGAGACGACGACAGACGACGACACGACGCAAGCCATGCAAACACATGTCCAACCCCGACACCCCCAACTATAAACGGGAACCCTTCGCTACGCATTCGGGAAAAAACGCATAACACTGCTTCGCACGTACGGAAAACGCATAACAACGTCTCACTTCGCTCTCCTGCAGAATCTGGGTGAACCCAAATGTGGTGACCGTAGAGGTGAGAAGTGCCAACACAGTGTTCACGAAGGCCTCACAGGATCTGAGCCCTAAGGGCTCGCTGACAAACTGATCAGCTTGCGCAACACTTTCTCAAAAAAGAATCCGACATACCTTAGTTTACAAACAAACTCCACAGCAAGAAATGCTTGAGGGTTGTGGCCTTGCTTTGTTGTGCAGCAGTCTCTTGCCCAGCAGCAACAAAGGTTGGCCAAAACCTTGATTCCCAGGCTAAGCTTGAATCGTGTTGCTCTCGGGGCATGGTTCAAGCCAACCCATTGATTCATCCAGGGGGAAACGGACCCCTGCAAGTTTTCGTAGCTTGCAGCGCAACTTTAGCAACATCCACGCAACGCGTCCAGGATATTACTATCCAAGCATCATCCACAAGAAGATTGTGCCAATCAGCGAAAAAATATCCGACCTTATTGCACTAAAATAGCACACACATTTCACTCGCTATGCAGAGACGGAGAGTCTCTCAATGGTACAACTGGATCGATTCTGATCTTGGGTGCAGACTGGTAAGAGCTACATCTCAATCTGTCCTGGAAGAAATGGCAAAGAACCATGTACAGTATGTTACAGTATACAGACAGGATACTGTACCGGTATACCAACAACTCCCAACCAACTTGCTGTCATGTCACCAAACTGCTGCACTGTTCTAAAGGGCACACACTTCAACGAACCGGACTAGCCAGAACCGAACGAGACAGACGGGAGGCCGACGGGAGGCCGACGGGAGGCCGACGGGAGGCCCGTTGGGAGGCGCGGGTGGCTGCCTTCCGCCCCTGTGGCCCCCGATCTCCTTCACAGCAGGCCCCAAAGCCAGTGAAGCTGCCAGGCCGAAGTAGGCACCAAAGACCTGAGTCACGTGCGGCGAGGACGACTGGACGATGCACTCAAGTTGAATTTGGAAGCTTTTTGCAAACAATCCCCACAGTATGGGTATTGAATGGTCTTGAATCTTGAATGATCTCCTCCGAAAAGCCTTCAATTCAAACATTCTAACTGCTGATCCACTGAATCCACTGCCATCTTCTTTTGATTTCTTTTTTATCTTTTTTCTCAGTTGGACCCAGTTGGTTGCGACGATTAGGCTTGCAACGTGCACCATGATCGTACCACCTCCGTCATGCAGGTGCGGCCGCACGTCCTTGGCGACAAGCGCTGCCACACGTCCGCTGGGGGCATTTGACTCGGCCATCCGCACATGGCAGTGAACATGGAAAGAATTTGAACGTGTTGGACATCCGAATTGCCATTCCATCCGAAAACGTCTCCGGCCAGCGAAGCCCAAGATTCAAATTGGTGCACCACAAAGACCTTGCAAACCCATTGAAAGAAAACTAATTAACACAGTTGTTTTTCATGTTTGTTGCTACCAGTACAAAACTCGGGCTGACCTTGTTCACCGTGTACACAGAAAGCTCGATCCTCGGTGTTCACAGGTTGCTTCCCAACAAACTACAAGGTGGTCTGCAGCACTGGGACTCCAGCAACACCAACATGACAATCTGGGTAGGGCTTATTCTGCCTCAGATCAACAACGAGTGGAACTGGCGGGAAAATCTGTCAAAACTGCAGCTGAGACACCGATCAAGGCTCCAAAGGACACCAAGACCTGAAACATTGAGAGCTTTGTGTGCTGTGGGTGTTCCTCTTCTTGGGACAAATAACTTAAAATGAACTCAACTTGACAAAACGGTCTGGACTCGATCAATCTCTTTACAAATCAATGATGGCCAAGGCTTCTCCTCTTGTTCCGAACTTGCATGTTCTTCAAGCTCAGCCAATGCTCTTCCCTACAGCCACTGCCATAGCTCATACCGGGTCACTGTTGCAACAGCCATGTTCCCGTTCAGAAGGGCTGGGAAGTCCACGGCCAGCTCCGACTGGGTACCATACGGTCATCCACCCATCTCTCAGAATCCGTGTACTTCAAAAGACAATGCAAACAACATGCTAAGCTGCTAAAACTTGAACCTGATAGAGAGGACTGCACATACTCGCCATAGTAGGGTTTTCTTGAATGATTTCAAAGGTCTCACTTTAGCTGCTTCGCAGCCACACAAAGAGATGAGAACAATCTCAGTGAGAATTCGTGCTTTCGGACATCCGTGTCCTGGTGGGCCAGGGAATCCAAAATGATTGCCCATTGCAGCCCCAAACAAGCTATCAGCATCCTGGGACGTGTTGCTTTCGGACAGCAAGTTTGCAAGACGCTTGATATTAATTAAAGGCTACTAGTAACAAGGGCATTTCTACTAGGAGCAAGGACGCTACTAGTAGTTCCTGACCTTACTACTACAGTAGTAGCATTCTTGCTACTATGCTTTGTTGCCAAGTTGCGTAAAGCCAACTGCTCCAAGGCCATACGCCTTTCGCAAGAGCACAGTTTCTGGCCCCAAGACAGGTTCCTTGTCAACATCTTTCGTTTGAACCCACTAATGTGGCCGACAAGAGGCAAGCGCCTTCAAGAATGCCTTTAAATATCCGAAGCCCAGAAATGTCATGAGTGTCACACCTCAGTTAACTCAGTCTCATAGAAGCACAGTGACACGGTGACACAAGCAAACTGCTTCGAACATTGTCAGTATATCGACACAGTGTTTGATGCTCTCCGAATGCTCACCTTGTTCAACTGTCCCTCATCCTTTCCATTTCAAAGGCCGAGGAGCCGATGTAACAACTTTGAGCTCCAGAGTCCATGTCTGGACTCGGCACACCTTTGTTTGTCCGCTTGTAGAAGATCACAAGGAAGGCCTTGTTTCTTGGATGATGTGAACGCTTGAGAGGTGCAAGTTGCAAGACTTTTCAAGACTAGTAACAAGTGCATCGCTTCTAGTAACAAGTGCATCGCTTCTAGTAACAAGTGCCTTACTAGTAGTAACAAGTGCATCGCTACTAGGAGCAAGAATGCTACTCGGAACGGCATGGTCAGATGGTGTGGGTCGAGCATCGGCCTTGAAACCCCTCCAGTAGAAGGAGAACCGACGAAAGCCTGGGTTCCCTCCTCTCAACATGCATGACACAACCCTTTACCCTACACACCAGGCCCTACACCCCAAGTCTTTCTGCCCTTCCAAGAGACCAATTGTGCGCAGCCTGTCCTAAGGTCAGGAGGCCATATTGTGAACACAAAACTTGGATCTCATGGCTTGCAGGATCCAAACTTGTCTATGTTAATCCATCATGATCTATGATGATGTGGCTGCAAAGCGATCTTTTTGCATGAACATGAGGCCCATGGCTATGCTGCCAAGTAGCAGCAAAGCGAAGCTTCTCCCTGGTCTCACCCATCGTGGAAAGTCCTACGGCAAACTATATTGAAACTACAGTAGATGTCTACTCAATCTGATACTGCGCGCATCTGCTCCATCCCGTGAAAACTCTATATGAGAAATCACCAGTCACCAGTATGTGTTGCCTCCTCTCTCGTAGTCTCTCGCCTTGGTCAGTATATGAATTAGACATCGCATATGTTGATACTTTTGTTCCTTCCTTTCTGTTCCTTTTGCTTTCAATGTGTGATTCTTTCTGTCACTCTGGGGGTCCAAGATGTCAAATCGCACCAAATGCTGCTTCCGAGGTGCTCCGTGGTTGCAAACGTATGCTCTTGCCTGGAGTAAGTGGCAACATGGTCAGAGACAGCGGTCACTTTCGCAGTGAAAAACGCTCCGATGACAGCAGGAAGGGATGGTAAACAAGTGAACAAAACTGTCGAACGATTTGCAATTGGGTGCATCCCTTTACTTGCCCAGGCACTTCAATATTGTCCGATGTGCCATGGCGCAGCGAGCCTGTAGAGTGCCAAGCAACTGTTCAAATCTGTTGCCCAAGTTCACTGGGCACTGGAAAGCAACGGGAGTCTGGCGGAAGGCACCTCGACGAGGATTCACGGCCACGTGTGAGCTCAGCTTCTCATCCGAGGTTCCATGTTCTTTGCTTCAGCCAAACTCTTGGAGTGTCTAAGCCAAAATAGTTCAAGGAAGTACCCCACTGTCTGCAAGCTTGCGGTTGACGAAGCATAGCTAAACAATCTTTCAGTTATCTGTGATCCTGCCTGGCTTCATCTCATGAGCAGCTGTGTTAAGGCGGTCAAGCTTGTCAACTGCTTCCGCTTGAACCCAACAGTTCTTTCCAGTGAACTAACACTCTGTTTGACTGTTTGGCAACTTGCTGGAGCTCTTGGCCTGAAAGACAAGCTCAGAGGAAACGCCATGCCTTTAGTCGGTAGAACTGATCATAGCTCTACATTGCTCAGTAGTGGTCGTGGTGAGTTGTGGGGTTCTGGATGGTTCTGGGGCGCGGGCAAATAATTCAAGGCCAGTAAGCGGTTTTGTGAAGGGTTCTTGGATGTGGGAGACAGCTCAATGCAGCGCTCGTACATGCGCAAGGCCTGACCATCCGATAACAATCCGGACGAGCACCGAACCGACAGGAACAAAAAGTCCCAACCAAACCAACCCTGCACTGCTCTGCACCACACCTGTTCATACTTGTTCTGAGCAACATGAGAACCTACTTTATCATCTTTGTCCTCCACGCTGAAGCTCCAACTTTGCCTGTGCCAAATCTCCATGATCCCAAAAAAGCCATCCCAAATTGTTGTAAGCTTCGGCCTTGGCAGCCGCACACAAGCAATCAAGACGACATCGCGGTGACAACCCAGGTACGCATTCCAGTTACTGCCTAGACATGGCAAATTCTTTGTGAAAGGCTGAGGTGCTGGCATAGTTCGGTGCGACTGAGACCGCTCTGGAAAGGTATTCAAGCGCCTTCACCATAGACATCGCTGGACACAAAAAACAAACGCGATATTGTGAGGTTTGGCCAATGACCTCTGTCAGTCGGCCCGAAGTGGTGTAAGCCACACCTCAAACGTCTGGAACTGGGTGTCAGCACATGGCACGGAAGATGTCTCAGGGCTCCGGGCCCAGGTTGTTCAGTGTCTGGGCAAAGCGAGGATTGCACTGAATGGCCAGGTGGTAGTATTTCAAGGCCTTAGGAGAGAGGAGATTGACAGCCAGCTACAGAATGACACACATAAAATCATATATATATATATATACACCACAAGAATTCACAATTCAATGTATCTCGCAATACAGCAACACCGGCGCCTCCAAATGGGGTATCAAAATGAAATGATAAATCTTCCCCAACCCGCAAGCTCCGATGTGAAGACACGCTGTTGATGTGCGCTTCGGTGGTGCAGTCGCCTTCTCGAGATTCTCCTGTTCCTTAAAGATGACACCCATATTGTTGTAGGCCTGAAAAACAGCGACGATCTACTGGGATGATTGTTCCTCACATGTCGCTGCCGTAGGCCGAGGCCTACCTCCGCACAACGAGGGTCAAAGTGAACTGTCAACTGGTAGTTGATAAGCGCCTCGCTGCGCAAAAAGAAAGAACTCAAGTGCATCACAAAACCCACTGGTTCCAACCAAGACTGCAACAGCCTGTTTGCAACATCATGGCAAACACTGAGAAGGGGCTTAAGCACAACCAAAGAATACTTTGAATTGACTCTTCAGCAGCCTCTGCACGGAGTTCAAACAATTTGATCCATTGTTGGCCTTATCGTACTTGTGCATCTCTGCATAGGACACGCCCAAATTATAGTATGCCTAAGCGTTCTGATGAGTTTTTCAACACTACAGCAAGACTTTGAGACACCAAGCACTCCAGCGTTCGCATTGCTTGGACAGTGAACCAGCGCCTGCCAGGCAATCCGACAGAAAATGAATCAAAGCACACAGGAACTTGATTGAATATTCACTGCACGGCTTTGGCAAGCATGGAGACCTGTCGCTGGACACGCCTACTTAATTAAGTAAGGGAGAGGACACAGGATAGCTCACACTTCCTTGAAGAAGCGCTCGCACAAATGAATCTTATGATTTGGTTCCTAGACTTTTAGGGAAACTTAAGTGTCGTTCTCTGGGTTTTCTCAAGATGATCAAGCGATCTCGTCCTGTCAAGCTTTGGATCCCATGCGAATATTCTCCATTTTGTCCACTACAAAGACTGAACCAAGGGAAAACCTGATACAAAAGCCAGAAAAGGCCATCAACCAATGCTTAAGGAGCAATTCAAGTGGCTGAGTTCGCTTTTGGTTTCAGGGTGGATGTTTACTTTGAGCGTTCGCAGAGATGTGAAGCATGGTCCTTGCCTTGCATTGAACAGTATATCAAAAGGAATGAGCTGGAAAAGGTGTCAACAGCTGGCTACACAGTGGGCTTGAAGACACGTGACCAGACAAAGGTGTTGTGCAAAGCCTGGACAATTGCCACCAAAACTACATGGTTTTTGTAGCGAATTGACACTTCACATACAGCACGGTACACATCGGCTTTCGCTCGTTGGGTTGTGGCCGGTTTTTGTGAATCAGAAGGTTGGGGACACATTTTACAAGAGTTACGCTGAAACATCCCTGAGGACGCACATCCAGCAGTACAAGAAGATGAGGAGCTTTCAGAGATTGGAGAATCGTTGGAGAAATTTCGTGACTCGAACATATGCAACATTGGAAACAGTAGCATCTAAGTAGATGCAGCATCCTGGTTACATCCTATACACAAAACAAAGTGTCAGATTACAGTCAATGGTTGACTCAGGAAGCTGGTTCACTGTCGACTCCTTTCATAAACATCCCACGAAAACAACATCCTGGGAGGATTTCAAGCCATCGTTAGAAGAAAACTGGTGGCCAGTTTCACAAAAATTCAAAACAGTTAGTGTTGATATCCAACAAGGGCGTGTTTGAGTGAACAAGCCGATGAATAATACATCACAACAAGGGACATATTGTTGGACCATATACCCGGGGAGGCACATTGGCAATGGAGAGTACAATCAGAATATTGACAGGAGTGTTGTCCACATTGGCAGAAGAATTTCCAGAAGTGTCCAGCAGAGAGTTGTTAGCACGGGTATATGGGTAATTGCTAAACACAAGAGAATGCTACAAAGGGTGCAGTCCAATGCAACATGCATTGGGAAAGAGCCCAGATGAGTGTGACAGAATGTGAGGGCCGTGCGGGAACTCAATTTCGACAAGAACTTAGATTGGAACAGGTGCAATACTTTGTGGGCCAAATTTCGTGATAGGCGCAATACCTTGTGGACCTAGGAATGCAAATTTCGTGGCACGTACAGCACTTTGTGAACTTGAAAGCGCAGAGAGAGAGAGAGAGAGGTAGATAGAGAGAGATAATGGAAGAGAGATAGTGAGAGAAACAGATGGATGGATGGATGGATAGATAGATCGATAGATAGACAGATCGATAGATAGATATATAGACAGATAGACGGATAGGTAGACAGATATGTAGACAAATGGATATGTTGAAAGCTGGGTGAGGTTGAAGTGGCCCTCAGCATCCACCATTGTGGGTTTTGCAGGTCATGTGTCATTAGACATGTTCATGCAAACACTAAAGATAAACAGCTAAAGCCTTGAACACCTCTTTGTGGCGTAGCCACAGCTAAGCGAAGGTGGGCCTTATCATCCACCGTTGTGGCGTTGTCAATGCAAAGAAAATAGTGGTTTTGGTACTTTGCCCCGTAGCAATCGTGTAAATTAAGAAAGCGGGAGTGGGCGTGGGGGAGGACGCAGCGCCTCCCCTGTAATGAAAACAAAGTATAGTCAGCAACCCGGCACTGAAAGCAACCGCCTGGGTTTAAAGGTCAGCGCTGCATTGAACCAAGCAATTGCCGGGAAAAAGTTGCGCTGCGTCTCCGAGTTTCAAGTTGTCATAGGTCATAGGTAGCCAAGTGTTTGATGAGATTGCTTAGTTGTCCCGTAGCAATCCCCTAGTTTTGGGCTCACAAGCATAAGCGGCAAGATGGATTGATGATACATGGTTGATTTTTTGACGCGCGCGCCCAAAGGACCTATGTAGCGTCAGAAGGACAAGGAAACCAAGGGAGCGGGGGACCAGGGGACCAGCAGACCACGGGCGTATTCTTATTTTACTTCTCAAAAGCGACAGAATCAACTAATCAAAGATCAAAGAGACTCCCTACGCTACAAAAAGACGATCAGAAGGAACAAAATAATGCCAACCAGGAGAAACAGCAAAAAACAACAGCCAGAAAGACTGCGCAAAAAGCATAAAGGAAAGAAAGAGGGTTCACAAAGAAGCAGTGAAAAGCAAGGACAAGTAAACCAAGCGCAGAAAAGCAGGAAAAACAAAAAATGCAAAGAAGCAGTGAGAAGAAAGGAAAAGCGACGCAAGCACAGAAAAACAACAAAAAACATCCAAAAATAGATACCCCTCCGTTTCTGGGTCCAGCACAAGCTCTAGCAACGAGCTCAGGAAAGGAAGCATTGTCACGTTGTATAGAGCAAACCGGTTGTTGAAGGCTGCTTGCAAGTAGCTTCGCAGAGCCACAGAGAGTGAGGCAATCCTTGAGGAGTTGTCAGGCCCAGTCGAACTTCTCTGGACATTTCAGCCACTTTCAGTCACATTAAGAAGGATGAGAAGCGTCCACAACAAAGGGACCAGGCGATCTGGATCCTAAACAAATCAAGACAAAGCAGAGAAAAGAGATGAGCAGAGGAGAGGAAAGACAATCAGGGAAAGCCTCCGGTTCGAGCAGACCTAGAAGGGACTATGAGTCCTTGAGTTGTTACGTTGAACAACCCCGAGGCCTATATGGCCAATCAGTTGGAGCAGAAACAGATTAGAAGTTCAAGAATCTTAGAACGCCGATTGATTGACACCAGAGGAGGCAATTCAATTCTGCAAAGCCAAAGACAAAGAGGTGAAGAACTTCATTGCAGCGCACAGCTTTCAGAGGGCCAAAGAGAAAATCCAGACGAGGAAGAGATCATTGGCACGCGATGGTTGCTAAAATGGAAGCATAGCCCGTCCCACAAGGACTGAAATTTATCCCGGCAAGAGACACCAAACAGTGTGTATATATGAGGTCTAGAGGTGTAGTGTAGCAGCAGAAAGTCTACAAATCTAGATGCGTTGGGGTCCAGAGAGGTGATGGTGGTGATGAAGGTGGAGGTCGTGGTGGTGAGTGAGTGGGTGAGTGGGTGAGTGGGTGGGTGGGTGAGTGGGTGAGTGAGTGAGTGAGTGGGCGAGCGAGCGAGCGAGCGAGGGAGCGAGGGAGGGAGGGATTGATGGAGTGAGAGTGAGAGTGACTCGAAGATCACAGCCATGTCCAAAGTCCTGCACCTGCCACGAAATGTCACGAAAAGTCGACTTTGGACCACCAAAACACAAGGTTTCCCTTGCGCCTGTCATGAAAAGTGACCACCATGTGCGAAAATGCGCGCGGCACCACAATGAGAGCGCAGTCGCGACAAGCACCCGCCGCCGCCCAGATTTCGCGAGCCTACGCAGTCCAAATGCACGTGGACGATTTTGAGAGGCATGAATGTACCGTAAATAGCAGCGAATTAGCCGGACACGGCCGCGCGACACAGCGGTCTAACACAGGTGCTTAACCGTAAGACCCCCTACACTGTTTGCGGGAAAAGGCCTAGGCCAGAGCTAGTGTGTTGGGCTTTCAGGACCCCTCTTGCAGTGAGAGAGAGAGAGAGAGTTCAGCACCTACAACATCAAAGACGTGCAGACAATTGTTTTCCAATTGTGCTCTGGGAAGAAATTCCGCATTTCAACTGGTGATTTGAGTGGGGCATTTCTCCAGGGCGAAACTCTCGAAGAGCCTCTGCGGTGCAGGCCACTACCAGAGAGATGTGCCGAGAGTTGGGCATAATTAGGGGAATAAAATACTCCAATGCTGTTGACAAGGGCGAAAGATTGGGGTACTTGAGATTTGAGATTGACAACAAACACTTGCTGTTGGATTTTGTTGGACAACCTAGGACAATTGAGGTCAGCCGTGCACGGACATGTAGATAATTTTTTGGTTGCAGGTAATTAATGCGTGAGACAGCCATACAATCACTCTAACAAAACTACAACTGGTAAACATGAAAAAACAGGTTGTTCGGAACAGTGTGAATTGGAGGTGCGACAGATTGCGACAGCATGATGATTGCAGTATTTCCTTGAAACAGAGTCGTTTCATAGAGGGCCTGGAGGAGATCACCATCACTCCTGATCAAAGTCGCCAAAGTGACCAACCCACCACCGACAAAGATAAGAGCTGGTTGAGAGGAACCTGAACATTAGGCAGTCTTTGCTGCTTGTGTGGTCAAACCTGCGCTACTAGAGGCTCCTGGCCTTACTACTAGGAGCAAGGACGCTACTAGGGGCTCTTCATGTATTCAGCAAATGTGAGGTTTCTCATTTCGACAATTCCAGTGCATTGGAGGTCAGCAACCATTTCTCGCATGTGCAGATCACCAGCATTGTGAGACACAGGCAGCACTCGATGGGGAGGATGACCTTCTTTACTTGAGAGTTCTCCGGCAAATGACAGGAGGATGTTTGGACCTAAGAGATCCCAACCCAAGCTCTTGTGTGCCGGCATTGGTGACAGATTCCAACAACCACAGGGCGACAGTGGTGGTCAAGGATGCAGCAAAGAGAAGTGACATTGAGGCCATACTTGAGAGAAGACTAATATGATCACTTATTATAGAAGACTGCAAGATAGCAATTCGTTGGGTACATCTAGGTGCCATGCTTTCAAACTCCCTGACCAAACCGACGAAAACAAAAATGTTGGATTACGCGAGTCATGATGATGAACTTTCGATAAAAAATTGTTTATGATAAATCCCGAGACCGAAAGAAGCAGGGCATCAACACTTTTGAGGACCAGGGCTCAATGCACTTGGGCGTGCACAACACACAAGGGTTCACTTTTTGATTTCGCGTCCTCCAAGTCGATGGTTCCATGTTCTCACATTTATTGGAGTAGAATGGTGGCAGTGCGAATTCGGCATTCGTCGTCAAACTTACAGTTCAAGACCCCCCTTGGCGTGTGATCAAAACATGGGCTGATCCGCTTTTCACTAGGTACTTTGAACACACACATTAGATCACATTAGCATGGCCTCTCTGTAGCATCTGATGGCACCCTTAGGGTCCGACCTGAGTTGAGATTGAACATCTGATGAAGTGATTGACAATGGGCTCAAGCTTCAATAAAAGTTTCCGTAAAGTTCCCCTCCCCTGAGAGGAAAACATGAAACAACGGTCAAATCATGTCAAATCCATCAGAATCCATTAGAATCAAAGGCTTCACTAGAATCAAAGGCTTCTGTCAGATAGGCTCTTGGGTGAAAACTCGGACCTGCGAACTCACGGAGTCTGAGATTGCCACGCTTTGATCTGCAGTCCGTGATTGATCAGCGAGACCGCCAGGTTTACAGGAGTCGTCCTGAAGTGTCCGGTGCAAGACTGTCAGCAATCCGTTGGTTTTCTCAAAAGACTCTTATCGCATTTGTGGAAAGCCAAGCCAACCTGCACATTCAAAGGTTTTTGGACGCATGCTGCTCCTCTCCATCATGCTGCGGGCACGCCTCTCTCTTTTCTCACATGCTTTCTGCGAGTATGACGTGAAACGGAACTCATTGGTCCCATAGGACAGGAAACGAACTGGTCGAACCAACAACTACCATAAAAGCGACACGGTCTTCTGTCGAATCTTGATTTGTGATTTCCAAGCTTGCAGGCACATTCTGAGCAAGGGACGCTCCAGCACAGTCAGCAGTTCAAAGTCAACCTCTTTTTTCAACTGTTGCAACATCCCATGTTGTTCCTCTGCAGCTCGCAAATTCACCACATCTCGTCTCTGTGTTTGCAAGTCCCACTCGAACAAATGTTGGGCACTTCGCGGTGACATCTGCTTGGGAACAACCACCGTGGTCCCAGTGTATGCCATTTCTTGCGGCATCTGGCTGCCCAAACTCCTTGCAATGACGAAAGTCACCTCCTTAGGCACCTCATCTGCAACAAATCCTGCAATCTTGAGTTTGGACTGAGAAAGCACAACGGCTACTGCAAGTGCAAAGGTTTTCTTGCAAGAATCGCCGCTTTCTTGCACCACGGTCGCTTCAACCAAGAGAATATTTCCAACCTGCACTTCGGTACGAAATGCGGTGCCAGAACCAACCACTTCGTCGCCTGAGATCGTGATTTTGCCCGTGCCAGTGCTGACATGCAAATGGCCCATGCCCAAGATGTGAGGAAGGCTTCCTTCTCCAAACCATTTACACATTTCAATCAATGCTTTCTCCGCCTCCGGTCGCAAGGTGCTCGCATCATACTCCCCAGTGATCGTGGGCGCCGCTGCAATATTTCCAAAGGTGTCTTTGTCATAACATCTATGAATGACAGCGCGCATCTCTTCCAACACCCGTTGCAAAGACACGTGAACTTTCAGGATGCAGTCATTCATCCTGATGCACTTGGCCCTCACATCCCGCAAGGCCGCCATACATCCGTAGAGCTCCACTTTTGCCAAGTCTTCTTTCACCACCAACGCCCCTTTTGTCAAATCATCAACTGTGATGGAACCACTTCTTCCATGGTCAACCTTGTCAAAAATTCGTTTCACAAGAAGCCGGTGCAAGCCAGCATCACTTAGTGACTGCTCAAGCTTTTGCTGGAACTGTTGATGTGCAGAAGTGCCATGCCCAAGTGAATGCTTTGAGCCACTTTTTTCACTATATCCGCCGCTGTGGCCACTGGCCTGGCGATCTACAGATGGTCTTGCGACCTTGGGGTGCATCTTCAAGCCAGTGGCACGCTCAACCATGTTGGCTGACAGAATTTGCGTGCCGAACTCCTTGTTGCAAGCCTCTTGGAGGGTCTTCATCGCTGCCAAGAATGCAATCAAATCAACACGTTGTGTCTCGAGCTCATCTCTGGCTTGCAAACCCAATGCTGATTCACAAAGGACACCTATGACCATGTTCATCAAACCGAGACCCAGAACAATGGCAAGAAGAAGTAGCATCATCAAATTCAGCCAATCACCTTTGGCTGTTTTCAGCACTTCATCCCAGTGGTCGAACGTGGTCACTTGCCAGCCTGTGAGAAAGGCACTTCGCAGGTCGCCAAAATACTTTTTGGCAGGTGTTCCTTCTGCTGAATCATTCCCCACCATGGAGACGGCATAGATTGCAAATGCATAAAGTACAATCAGAATAAGAACCAGGGCCCAGCACACTTGCCGCCAGGTCTCAATCAGCGCAAAGACCATCTTCTGCAGCTGCGGAAAGAGCTTGAAGACCCGCAAGAGCTTGGCCAGCCGAAACAAGCGGAAAGCACGCAGAACCGACAATGCAGAGGTATCCAGATTTAAGACACCAGCGTTGCGAAGCTGCACAATGACCAGTGAATCTAGTAGGGACAACACTATGATGACAAAGTCGAATAGCACCGAAAATTCCCTCAGACTGTAGCACATGGCCGAAAGAATGCTGCCAAGCCCACCAGGAGGACAAGGAGGGAGAATAAAGCACCTCATTCGAGATTTCAGCTGGAAAAAGCGGCTAACTTTGCGGTTTGCCTGCTCAAAGAAATTGAAGTCGGTGTCTGTTTCCTCCGGCTGGTAAACAAAGTTCAAATCTGCAGCCAGAATTGCACGAAGAATAAATTCAATTGTAAAGACCATGGTGAAGCTGAGGTCAATCCAATAGATCAGTGTATTTTCGTCTTCTTGACTGGCCTGTATGCCAACAAAAGCTCCGTTAATAACAATCAAGCTGCCAAACAACACGTCAATCGGCATGACCAGCTGCTGCTCTTCTGCATCAAGGTTGAACTGATTTGCCGTCTCTTCCATCTTTCTCACATCCAAGGATGACTGCACAGGCTCTACTTTTAAAGTTGGAGGCGCCCACTTGACGTCATTGTGAAGCCGAAGTAGGGTGAATGACTTCTCGGCTCTTGTATACAATACGCTCAAAGCGTCATAAGCGAAAGCACACAGATTCCTGCCATTCTTCTCCACCTTTGCCATGGAAGACTCCAGCTGACGCAAACTAATGCAAAAAAATAACAGATCAACTGGTCTCAAGGCAGTTCCTGCCTTATTTCGTTTCACACTGTTGGCAACGCTTCGTGCAAAGTAGGATTGAAGTTCAATGATGCCAATGGCTTCAACAATGCCGTCAATCTCAACATTGCCATCTTCCTCAAATGCAGCAACAAGCAGGTCAAAGTCCTTTGAGGAAAGATCCAAGATTCGAAGGAGCGCCTTCACATTGTTGTCCTCCAAGGCTTCCACAAATTCATCCTTTGCAATGTATCGATGGTTTTTCAGCAAGTGCGTGCCGTGTCTTGTGAGCTGCAGGCGGAACAACTCAAGAGCCTCTTGCTGCGATACAAGCCTTTCTGCTCCAGTGGTTCGTACTTGGCGAGCTTCCAACTTGAAAGCGGTGTTGCATAGAATACCCACCACTAAATTCATGAGGCCCAAACCCAATATACAAGCACTTAACAGGACCACCACGGCCATGGCAGTTCCATGGATCCCCCCGAGTTCAAATGCCGAAGTCCTCACCAAATCCACCCAGCCGTCGAAGGTGGAAACTTGAACAAGTGCCCACATTGCCATGGGAAGGGAGGTAAAATATGGAACGATTTGAGTGGTTCCCACCACATCCCACTGTGTCATGGTCACCAACAGCACTCCAAGAATGAAGATCGTCATACCCAGCAGCAGGACGGCCCAAAATAGAGTCTGCAAAGAGTTGAGGATCCCTTCCACTAGCATAGCCAGTTGACGGAATGCTCGTAGCACTCGAACCATTTTTACAAGCTTCAGTAAGCGGTACAAGCGAGCCAATGAATACACTCCCCCGCTGCCAACACCCCCCAACACCCAGGTGTCTGTAATGCTCAAGGCCACAACAATCACATCAAACTGCACCCAGCTATCGGTCAACAGCATTATGCCAAACTGGCGGCATCCACTTATGACTGCTCGCAATAGAATTTCCATAATGAAAGCGATCAGGAAGACGTTGTCAAGCACTTGCCAAAGCAAGTCGCTGCCACATTGACAATCCGTTCGAACTCCCATGGCCACGGCATTGGCCAAGACGATCAGACCAAACACGGCGTCAAAAGTCGCCCACCTTCACTGTTGCACAGAACAATTTTTAGAACTACAAGAAAGCAAAATAAAACTACCGTGAACTGTATTCTAGTCTCTTGCAACATTTGCAAAACGTTATTTGCCCAAGCTCGCGCACCTTCGAGCCTTCATCAATTCATTTGTTACTGTCCGCATGAGCTGAATCTCATCAGGAGGGAGCTCAAAAATGGTCGTTGCCTGTACTCTGGGCCGCAAGGCAAAATGACGCCAGCGGTAAACGGCATTGCCCACGATTGCTTCAGCGGCCTCTGCGCAAAAGAGTTCAACATTCTGATGTTGAAATCAAATTATATACATATAATATATGTGTGCAAATTGAGAGATTCACTTCCCCTGACAATGAGACAGAGTCACTTTAGGGCTTTGTGCTGTTTGAGTTCAGAGTCGAGACCATAGACCATTTTAGAAGCCTAAATCTAGGTACATAAGGTTAAATTGTACAGAATCAAGAGCACCCAGAATCGAGCTCACAAGATCAAACACACATGTCATCACATGTCAGAAAAAAACATAGGCAAAATCTATAAAATCAAGATTCAAGATGCAACAACAAAATACTTACTGTACATCAATGGGGCGAGAAGCCCCATGATTCTGGAGTAGCTACAAGGGCACAGGAATTGCTCAGGCCCTAGAATTGTAGACAAAATAATGATAAAGAATGTACTGTATCATGTTCTAAATTCAGATTGATTGTCTTCTGGGACTGGCATTAATTTGCAAACCATTTTCGCAGAGCCAAGGATTGCAAGAAACACACTCTTTCTAGAAGCAAGGCACAACCTCTTGAAACCAAAAACCTCTTGAATCATAGGACCTGAGCTCTTTCTTCAAACATTGACATATGTGTTTCTCTATAAAAATCAGGTGTCCGAGCCTTCAATTGTGCCTACACACCCTCTTGCCCAAAAGTGGTGCGTTAAGCTACATTGTTCAGACTGCAGTGCCTGTTGTCTAAAATGGTACAGTAAGGTTGTTGGAGCATAAGGTACTCAATTTTAGACAGGCTATTGGCTGCGTGACCGTTTAGGGCGAACTCTTCAGAGGAGAAAAGCAAAGAACGCTGAATCTTGACGAACAAAAGGACCCTCGAGTTTTCCCTAAATGGGAGGTTCCTTGACGGCACAAAGGCTATGATTGGAGGGTAACCTCTGGCAGAGTTGGTGAGCGGAGGTGATGTGTAGGAGAGTAAGTCGATGAACAAATGTGATGACTTATCAAATGACGGGAGGGTCTTGTGATGATGTCTAATGGAGTGGTTTGTAATGCAGTGAAGTGTTTTGCGGTGATTTGTGATCTGGTGAAGTGTAACGTCGTGACTTGTGATATGGTGGTGAAGTGGACTGCTGGGAAATGTTGTGTGGGAAGAACTAAGGCTCAAAGAGTATCATGCATGCTGCATGGTTGCTTCATCACTTTCTAGAACCTGGGAAGGACAGGTCAGCTGAAGATTGAACGTGGACATTGGAGGACATTGGATTGTTTTGGCCCGCCTTGTCTCCAGGACCACTCATATACCCAAAGAGCTTTGCAGGAACTGGGACGTGCAAGTCTTCGGCAAAGAGCGCTGCTTCAACTTTTCCATCTATGTCGATGCTGGCCATGTGCTGGGACAAGCGGAATCTGACCTTCACAGTTCTTCCAAGCGGAATTTCTGATGTAGAAACCTTGGCACGAAAGTTGCCATGGCGCAAATAGAACAGCAGTCGAGTCGAAGAGGGTGCAACACAAATCCGAGGAATTTGACTCCGAATGGCACCGCCAATGGCAAAATGAGCAATGCCTCGGCGATCCTTTGCCTTCTGCTTTAGATTCAGGTCGAAGGAAATCTCGAAATTGTTGGATGAGTCAACTTTTTTGATCACAAGGCCACGCTGACATGCCTGGGCCGTTGCCCGGAGGGTTGTGAATGATGTAGATCCAGGGACTCCAGCCAAAGGGTCTTGGTCTGCATCTTCGCCCTCCACCATGTGCCCGCCAACAACGTCAAGGTCACCATCAGCATCTTCATCGTCACTGTCTTCCTCATCACCATCATCAAGCAACGTTCTGTCCCAATCAGCCTCTTCTTGCAAACCTTCTTCTTTGAAATGCAAGTATGCAGTGGAATTGGTTTCTCTCACCGGTGTCTCACGGGGGACGCCGTCTGTGGTAGGGACGTCGTTTGTGGTTTCAGCATTGTCCACCAAGCTTGCAAATGGTTTTTCCATTGCTAGCGTTGGTGTTTCAGCGCCGAAACATTAGCAAACAACGAAGACCTCTGAAAACTTTGTGTTATATAATATAATTAGATCGATTTAGGAATCTTCAGTGTTTTAGTTTTCGATGTACGACTTTGTCACCAATGAATCAGGCCTTCGTGTCAGACTTTACACAAGAACCTATGCCGCTTGCATGACATTGTCATCTAAGATCTTCCGTTGGCCTTAAATAAAGTTTTTTGCTTTGTCTCAGCTGCTCTGCTGCGCAAAACGGCTTGAGGGCGAAGGCTCATCAGAAAATTTGTGTACTAAATCTACGATTCGTATATATAAACCGACTGCATGTGCCATGTGGATAGATCATGATACATCATAATGTGATGCGCAGGATCAAGTCAACTGTGCTTCATCTTGGCAGCCTTTGCTGAGACTGCTGCTCACAATTGGGATTCAAGCGGAGAACGGCACGATACCAATCTGCCGCTGCCTGACTCTTTGCTCCCAACACAACAACTTACATTTGTAGTGGCTCTTCAGCTGCTACAAACCAGGAGCAAAGGGCATCGCTACTAGTAACAAGGACGCTACTAGGGGCTCCTGGCCTTACTACTCACGAAAGTTGCGGTCCGTGTCTGAGCGCTTCCTCCGGCCCTACACCGTATTGGTGGGTGCCGAGGAGTGTGAGGGAATATCTTGTTGTAAGATATGACCAAAGATGCAATGTACACCAGTCGTAAACGCTACCTAAGTGAGACCGAATATCCGCGTGGCGCAAAGGGGTTGAGGCTGGTAATTCCTAATTTGGCGCAGCAGGAATAGGCACCGAATTAAGTTCCCCATGTCGATTCCATTTCTTTCTCAAATTTCGGCGATACAAGAATCGTTGTTCAAATGTAAGAGGAATTGCCTCCACGGCTGGAATGGAAGGTGTGACGAATCGCATCGGAATGAGTCCATCCGGATGATAAGGTGGTTTACAATGGAGATCATCGGCATACCGTGCGAGAGTGCGTTGAACGGCCCCTGCGTTAGCAATCTGTGGGCGCAATGCAAAGCCACCAGTATATGAGCGGCCCCAGCCGATTTGAGTCAGGCTAATGGAGCCGGTTCTTGAATATTTGGGCAAAGGTGGTGTACTGGAATAGCCTTGCAAGATGGGGCCTCCCATCTGGTGCCCTGGGGTGGATGGGGCCCCAGATTTTTTTTAGTACTCAGTGGTGTAGGACCTAATGCTTGCCAAAAATTATTCCATATGTGAAGAGTTGTCAGGAATAGTTTAAAGCAACTTCCAACGCGCAGTCTATATGGCATCCTGAGGGAGGCAGTTTCTTTTCATGGCAAACATGTAGTAAAGGCAAGGCCTGCACACCACAAGTTTTACTAGTACTTGCGCTGCTAGAACTAACCCAAAGATACCAACCCCTCACCAGATGCCTTACTAGCTTTTGCCCTCCTGTATACAATCTCCATAACCACCAGAAACTATTCCAGGGGTGGTTCAGTTCTGGTAGGGGCCTAGAATAATATCACCTCCCCTGTTTGCCTCTATACCTAACTCTGCCTGCCACTATGCCTCACCCAAAACCCATCACAAAACCCTTAAGCCTCAAGCTTTCCTAACCCTTACCAGAAGACTTAAGTACTAGTAATTTTCATTCTGCTCCCTATTTCCTGCGCAAGATAAAACTATTCCTAGGGGTGGTTCTGTTCTGGTGGGGGCCTGGCATAATATCACCTGCCCTGTCTGTTGCTGGAAAGAAGAAACCAACCCAAAACATCCAACCTTACCAAGCTCTCCAATTCTAGTTACTAGCATTTGTGCTCCTAGGCTCCTAAGACTAACCCAAAATACCAACCGGGGAGCTCCGAGCTTTCCAACCCATCTACAAGGCTACGAGTTCACCGCTTCCACTTATCATACGTCTCAGCTCTTTTATCTTTTCCTGCTTGTCAGCTGCTTTTCCGTACTGGGCTACCTCCTGTGTTTAATGGCCATGCACTCAAGAACCTCACCCCACTACACATGGTTTCCAGAAAACCTCTAAGGGTGATTCATAGAAACCAATAGACACATGAGGGAGGCAATTTCTGTTTTATGGCAAACATGTAGTAAAGGCAAGGCCTGCACACCACAAGCTTTACTAGTATTTGTGCTGCTAGAACCAACCCAGAAGCCTTACTAGTTTTTGCCCTCCTGTATACAATCTCCATAACCGCCAGAAATTATTCCAGAGGTGGTTCAGTTCTGGTAGAGGCCTAGAATAATATCATCTCCCGAGAGTCCCACATATCCATGTGTGCAAGAAAATAAGTTCGAATTTGAATAGCGAATGACACTAGCTCCTGATTGGGTGCATGCCGGGTCCACGTACTCAAAGCCTCCTCAAATATAAGAGTCTTGATTCTTGAGTTAGGCATCACTGCAATGCGTTGCAAAAGTAATGTGGTATCGTGGCCAAAAGACACATTACTTGTTCTTGGAGAGAATGCAGTAGCGTCCATCCACATAAGTGAGGTGGTGTACGTGTGGCTGTGGCCTGAACGTGGATTCGATCCGGGGATGTTTCAAGTAACGTGGCCACTGCCCTTGGTAGTTAAGGGTAATGAAGAACATGACCTTGGTGTAACCAGCTACACTGGGCAGATCGGTAGTCAATGGTTCTAGTTGGCCTGAGTCTGGGTCGAAGTTAAGCGGACCGGGAAGATATCGGTCCAAGACTTGCATACGAATCGCCCGGAGAGTGAGTTCCACTTCAAGATTAGTCAACCAGGCCGGCTGGATGAGCATGGTGCGTAATCGGTTGATTTCTCGTTCTCGATCTGTGGGAGGACGTGGAAGCTGACAGATCTCTTGGACATAGTCATCTCGTGGTCCAACGAACATGGTGGTGTCAACACTTGGCGGTAAGCGTGAGTCTGGTTGATCCCTTGCGTATTCAGACATGAAAGCACTTCGGCATTGTGTTGCGAACTGATGTAGAGCTGGAGTTGCGTTTGTCCGATTCCATTGCTGCTGAGCTCGTAGGATCACACGATCAAATTGAGCTTGGTCCTGGTCAGTGACATGGATTAGAGGTTGGAGACATGTCTGCGTGGCAAATTCTGATACCAACGGAACAAAGTCGTCCATCCGCACATGGTCAGAGCCTCATTGTTCGAATCCATAGTAACCAACATGCGGTGTGGTGGTATCTGTAGTATCCGCGACATTTCCAGGATAACCATAGTATGGTGTTGAGGAGGCCATTGGATGAGAACCATGTGGACTGGATCTGTCCTACGATCGATCTCGATGGCGCACCAGTGAGCTTCAACAAGGAATAACAAGAGATTGAGACGATGGTTGGTGAACTGGAGTGGATCTTCTGCCGCCATAAGGTGCTGCAAGTCACGACTTGGACTCCATTGGACAATGGGACCAGTTTGGATATCTGATCGCCACTCTTGCAGCTTGCGCATAAACCAAAGGGCTTCGTCAGACGCTAACCAGCCATTATCTTGTAGTGCTGCTGCACAACGTTCTGCAAAAGGAGGATTTGGTGCCATGTGAATCACTTGGCAGCGTCCCCAAGCTGGATGTCCTCCACCGTATATTGCTTGGCTCCAACCCAGAAACTGTGAGTTGCCATGTGCAAAGGGAGTATTGTCCTCAGGCCAAGGTGATACCAAGAGTGACGGTAGGAAGGGCTGCAAACATCCACGAAGAAAGGTCAAATCATCAAGCTGGCGGGAAATGGTTCGATTGATTTCATTGGAACTTGACGATGCCAGAGTCAATACTTGACCACTATTCTGATGAAATGGCCGCGAAGGTTGGAAGTAATCACCTCTTGAAGGTATACTCTGGTAAACTTCATATGGCCGAGTTTTGCCAGCATCATAGATATCGACATTGTCCCAAACTGGTTGTTGGTCGTAGCGATGCACAATGGGCACGTCAAGATAGGTGCGGGAAAAATGAAATCAGTATGACTTGAATATTGAGCCATGCGATAGAAACTGCAGCGGTTGTAATCGGGTACAGCCCCACTAAATGTGGTTAGATGTAGTAGAGACTGGACGCGCACCGTTTCATCTGTGGTGGACTCAATGATCTCATTCAAGTCAACTTGATATCTGGAGTACAGTTCAGAATCATCGCGCAATATAGGGAACGAACTGTAGGGCCACGAAAGGGCAGAAATATTTGGTAGAGTATGGTCTGGAAGTTCGTGAAGTTGAAGCACTGTTACCGCAGGAGCAAAACCATTGCATAGGGCGGGACCACTGTAAGCTGCATGAAATCCAGATTGTGACGAAAGCCGTGTTCTCTGTAGAGGATGAGCCATCACTGAAGTGTAGTGCAATTCACTGAAAGGTTGATCACAGAAATCTCTGGTGGCTGAATAATGCGTCGAAAGGCAAGGTGAGACGTCGGCTGACTCTGCTGGAGAATATCTGAATTGGAAACCAGTCTGAGCACAGTCGAAGAGCAATCGAAAATCATGCTAGTTGGTAGAAATATCATGGTCAAAATTGACCAAAATCTGGTCTCCATATGTACTGATAGGTTGATCTCCACCTGTAGATTTGCCTCCGTCATTGCCTTTGAACTCATAACCTGATCTGGTGTTGTAAACGGGTACAGCCCCACTAAAGGTTGTTGAGTGTTGTGGTCCTTGCGCCGTAGGTGTCGGATCGGGTACAGCCCCTCGATATGTAGTAATCTGTGGTAGACTTTGTAACGTAATCTCATGAATCTGAGCAGGCGTCTGATGATCGAGGTCGTAGTGTGTAACCGAATGATCATAGGCTTCGTGAACAGCTGCTGCTGAAGTTGGACTGGTAGGTACCAAAATTTCTGGTACATCATGAGTTCCAGTGGAACACAAAGATGAGGTAAATCGTCGCAAAACTTCAGAAGACTGTTGGAAACTGAAAGGTGAGGATCTGTCAAGCCGAAAATTGAGATCGATCTGACACTTATCACTTGGAATAATTGCTTGAGAATCAGGTTGCCCATATGTGAAGTGATTGGCAGGCAAGTTGAATGGAGAGAGGCCGAATGTGCATTGCATGTACAACATCACTGTTCTGATGTCTGGGTACTGGAAGGAAGTGGATCAAAACCACCCCTTGAGGGTGCGTCCAGCAAGAATTCATCTGCATCATTCGGAAACGACAAACTCTGTGGTGGATGAATGCCAGTGATGGCACGGGTGGAAGCATCTGAGCGCCTAAGCTCACAAAATCCAAAGGATTGCCATTGCTCAACAACTGTGGGCACAATCTCTGATAAACATCCACGTATATCGTTCGATATTGGTTGGGAATTGGATAAATGCGAAATCTGTATGCGATCTGGGAAGTCATGAATATCTCCATCGATGGATGTTAAGACGGGTACAGCCTCACTGGTGATGGTAGGATGCTGTGGATCTTGAAGGCGGCACTGAGAAATTTCTTGGTCACATAGTCCACTCCTCGACAGATCAAAAAGGAGCATGTACTCATCTTGATGAAGCCGCCGAAGCAGGATATCTGTGTACGCTGCTTTGTTTACCTGGTTCAAACTAGCCTCGTGCAGAATCTGCACGCAGGCCGGATCGATGGTTCGAATGCCTTCCTACCTTCAAAGGATGGCTGCTCCGATTTTGGCTTCAAACAACTAGAAACACAAAGACGGTTTTGGCTAGCTGACTGAGTCAAACAGGGAGGAATTGGGACGTCTCGTACGGCCTTCAAATGGGCTGCACAACCTGTTTGATCATGAGACTGCCGATGCATTTGTGACCTGTTTTCCGGGACAAATGAACAGTGATCGATCATCGAAGAAATTTGAATTTGTCGACGGGTGGAACATTGCAAAAGACCATAGCGGTCATCGTGAATTCGTGCAACCTCTGGCCTAGTTGTGAGTTTTGGGACAACTGACCTGGCAGGGGTTGAGATCAAAACGGATGCGGCGGGCTCTTGCGACTTCTGCTGAAAATGACTATGCTGAGTGCTTCGGTGATGGTTGGCGCATTCCGAACCAAAAAGTCCTTGCCAACATGTGGGCGCAGCCGACTGAAAGGCACTAATCCATGAAGAGAGACGGTGGAAAAGCGAACCACTTTGTTCTGCCGATGTGTGATGTGCAAGTGGCTCATGAAAGGAACAGGCGAAATTTGAACGATCTTCCGCAGGAACAAAATGTATGCTCCATGGTTCAAAGCACTGGTCCTCACTTGACTGTAGCATCGGAGTTCCTGTATGTGGCCTGCAAAAATATCCCCGGTTGCCCATGGTTCAAATGTCATGGGATCATAGTCATCTCTGGGAGCAGTCACTCCACTCTGAGCATCATAGGAATCCTGGGAGACCTTTGTACCATAGTCCTGTGGTTGTAATTGAACCGTTGGATCTACGCTTGCGCTCATTCCTTCGGCTGTCACGCTGGTTTGTGTAGGAGTCGATGAACTGGTCAGACCAGGGTTCACAAAACGCCAACACCAAGGCTCCCACAAAGCTGTATCCTCTAAAGTCTGCCCATATCCTGCATTCGACTCATACCGTGCATAGTCCTGAGCCCAGGGTTCAAAGAAATCCGGCATCGGACGGTATGACGGGTCAGAGCATCCTGGCAAGGTCTGAGGCTTATCATAGAGCAAAAAGGAGTCCGGCTGATCATGGTCTTCATGAGGTAGTACAATACCCATCTGGCGTCGTCCACAAAGTGCCCACGTGTATAAATATGAAGACCGAGATGTACTCATATGATCCAACACTGAGATTGCCACTTTTAAGATGCAAGAACTCCCTTCGTCCTTGAGGCATCTAAGGATAGCAAAACGGCCGTGACGGAGAAGTACCTTTTCAGGTTGTATCTCTTCCTTTAGCTGTGGGCACCATGTAGAATCATCTCGAAACAAATGCCGCACATAGCCATCGCGCACCCCAACGTGGGCTCTCACGACCCAATCAGCACCACCGCAGTGGCAACGGGCGCGCCACGCGTAGGCTTGAGCCCAACGCCTCTGGCCTTACTACTAGGAGCAAGGACGCTATTAGGAGGAAAGGGCATTGCTGCTGTAACAAGGACGCTTCTAGGGGCTCCTGGCCATACTACCAGGAGCAAGGACGCTACTAAGAGGAAAGGGCATCGCTACTAGTAACAAGGACGCTACTAGGGGCTCCTGGCCTTACTACTAGGAGCAAGGACGCTACTAGGAGCAAAGGGCGTCGCTACTAGCAATTTGAGGCCAAAGGGGTTGAACGAAATCTAGCCGGGCGGGGAGGCGTGCAGCGGCGGCGGCAGCAGCAGACCACCAAGCAGCAGCAGCAGCAGCAGACCCCCCAACAGCAGCAGCACCCAGCAGCAGCAGTAGCAGCAAACCAAGAAATTGTGATGCTGGACATGACATGCTGCCTCCAAATCAGTTCAACACGAGTTCTAAATTTGGCCATCGTTTTGCACCGCTTTCGCGCCGGTTTTTATTCTACATGGCCAACTCAAAAAAGCAGCAGCAGCAGCAGCAGCGGCAGCAGCGGCAGCAGCAGCAGCAGCAGCAGAGCAGCAGCAGCAGCAGCAGAGCACCAAGCAGCAGCAAACCACCGAGCAGCTTTATCCATCCAGAACACCAGCAGCAAATAAACTGCACAGGGGGAGGTTTCAGGTAGTCATCACTACGTCCTCCCTGAAGCCCACACGCTCCCCCACGCGCAGGATGGAGTTGAAACCCGGGGGGGGTCCATAAGATTGATTTATGTTATTTGAGGTTTTTGAGGGACGTCCACCCCATCATTTAACTTGCTATCGCAAGAGCAACTCCTGCTAGCTGAGGCCAGCTTTCGTGACAAGGACGCTACTAGGGGCTCCTGGCCATACTACCAGGAGCAAGGACGCTACTAGGAGGAAAGGGCATCGCTACTAGTAACAAGGACGCTCCTACTAGGAGCAAGGACGCTACTAGGAGCAAAGGGCATTGCTACTAGTAACAAGGACGCTACTAGGGGCTCCTGGCCTTACTTCTAGGAGCAAGGACTACTAGGAGCAAAGGGCATCGCTCTTTTTTAATAACAAAATATGACAAGATCCAAGGACTTGCCGGATCCCTTCCAGTCAACTTCATGTGAGAAAGCCATGAACGTTCAATTTGCTTTCAGAGTTCTGGGGATCTCGGCTTGGAAATTCCCTTGCTGCCGACAAACTGCACCAATATTGCCCATGGCCTTAGAGCAAAAAAAACCGCAAAGTCCGAAGAGTGATGCTGCGCCCGCCTCCGTAGAGCGCGGGTCCAATTTGTATGCCTGAAGACACAGCGGGTCGAAGCTACGAACACCCTCACCACCCTGCCTTCCATCACAAAACATGTTTAAAAGAAGTGACACACGTGTGATTTCTCTTTCTGCATTTCCTTGTTCTTCAAATCTGCATCTCGCCTTCTCCGAATACTCTAGGGCTTTTGCAAAGTCTCCAGCCTCAGTGGCAGAGAGTATACTATATCCACAGTGGTCAGTAGCTGGGCTGTGCCAGGGCTGCCAGTGCTCAGCACCAGGCGGCCAGGTACAGTGAGCCAAGATTTTGGTGACTGGGGAGGTTCTCGGGATCCAAGCTGGCAGCAAACGCAGTCCATGTGTCTTTGCTAGCAAACAAATAGGCTATGTGTCTAAAGTGTAGGTATCCAAGCTCACCAGCATCTTCCATCTGTCCCTAAAGTATCAACGAGTCAGGCAAAAGAAGGAGAAGCACCTGAGTACATCAAAGTACTTCTCTGCAGCTCCACGCCAATCTCCTGTGGCCTGAAAGGACGTGCAAGAGTTCGCTGAATACAAGCCAGTCCAGTGAATCAAAGGCATATGACGATTCCATAAAAATCCTTAGAGTGCACTGTTTTAGTTTAAAGTCTTTGCCTTTAGCCTCGCAGCCATGTCCAGCAAAGTTGATACCTGGCAGGAAAGTTCAACCTCCAATCCACAATCCGCGAGACCCAACTTGGCTTCATTTTCCACTGACTCATCAACTTCACTTCTTTTCCCTTGTGGTCCGCAACTCATGAGCCCGTCTGCGGCCCTGCGGCGGCCCGGATGCGGCCCTGTAGAGTCCCTCACCTTGACGCCATCTCTGGACTGCTTTCATCTTGCTCAAGAGGCTGAAGACGCAAAGATGTTGCCATGTGATGTTGGACGGAATCCTTGATGCCGCCGCAAGTTCGCTCAATCTCACTGTGTGCCTCGTCTGCAAGCTCTGTGTGTTGGCGCAGGTTGTGTTGTACCAACTCCAACTCCTTTTCCAACCTCTGACGCTCGCTGGTGACCTGATTCAGTTGCTGGGTGTAACTCATCAACTGCTGCTCCAACCTATCCCGTGTTTCCGCTCCGCGGGCAAGCTCCGAATGTTTTCTTTCATAATCTGCCTTCAATAATTTGCATTCCTTGCCAAGCTGTGTCTTCAGCTTTCGTGCTTCTCCCACTTCTAAAGCAAATTGCTGCTTTCGCTGCCCTGCAAGTTCAAGAGCAGCCTTGATTTCAGCAAATTTTGTCAAAGTCTGGTTCTCATACTTGTCCTCCAAGTCTGCCATCTTCTGTGCACGATCATTCACCTCTGCCTGGTGTTTGGACACCTCTGAACGGAGTACGTCGCAATCTCTTGTTATCTGGTCAAGGCTTTGCTTGTGCTTGCGATATCTGGAGGCCCAGTCTGACACATTCTGGTCAAAGAGCTTCTTCCGCAACACAGGCCCTCCGGTTGCAGAGCTCACACTGTTACCTCCCATACTCAAGCTGGGCTGCTCAGCGTCCCTTCCACCACCTGCCGGTGCATTGACTAACCTGGCACTTACAGGTGCTGCAGAGGCTGGCGGCTGTGCATAGCCGAAGGCTCGACGCTCACCATCGGACGTTGCCATGGACATCTCGCGTGTTCTGCAGAAAACTACTAGAATGTACCATGTTATAATTCAAAAACTAAAGTATATGTGTATATACACTGTACACATATAATTGACCGTGTGTGTATTTGTTTGTATACTCATGTGACACCTTTGTGACTACATGTCTGCACATGCCGCCGTCCAAACATATGCCAAAAAGAACATGGGAAGCACTGTTCTGAAACTGCAAGCATCAAGCATTCATTTACTTTCTCTTCTCTGCTTCTGTTGACCTTGTACAAGTGTGGTCTTGTCTCAAACTGGCTGGCAGAAAGAGTGCTTCAGGTAGTTCGCACGAAGCATGGATCCTGGGCGTTGGCTGCGCAAGCTTTGCTCAGGCTTGCCTGGCTGGTGCCCTTTGGCACAACCTGACAAAGGATGCGGAACCAATTGCAAAGCTTTTGAAGCTGGTTGGTTTCCTCGTTGATGTTATCAGAGCGATCCTGGCGCCTGGCCTGACCGTAGCTCATGAACATTGGACCTCCAGGGTACAGCCAGTTCATGACAGCACATGGCTACTTGGAACCTTTTGCTGATTATATAGCTTTGATCATCCATCGTTATTAAACAGAACGACAAAAGGATGTGTAAACAAAAAAACGGGAAGCAGAGGGACTGGGGGACCTCTTTAAAAGAAAACACTCGTAAGATCACACCAATGCAGACTGCCTGGAGCTGAAATGGCCTGCATGACCTTGGAACTTGTCAACGAGTCATCTGGCAATTTGTTGTGTACAAACATATCTTGCGGTTGCACACTGGGAAGAAGCAACACTCCAGCTGAGGCCTACACTAGAGCGCCCAAAGCCCTTGACACACTAATTACTGGCTATGGGCCAACAAAGAGAATAGTGCCCGGCCCCCGACAAAGCTATCTCAAACACAGGTTTGTTGATTCTCGCACTCCTCTCCTGTTGTTGTGAACGCAATGACAGAATCAGGAAATGGTGCTGTTCGATCTGCTAACTGTCGCACTTGTGGTGGTGGTTGTCATTCCTCAAGCTTTATTTACAAGTTTGGTTCCTCCCTGCGATGATTCGAGACCCGCGCAGGGCTGCGTTTTTTGGCACCCTCAATGGGCTGAGCAGTCTAAGACCAGAGTCCAGAGCAAAATGAGTAAAAGACTTGTGTACCTAGGATAACCTATGGTATGAAGACAAACAATTGGTAATCTATGGCCCTACGGTATGGCTTTGCCAAGACGGGAAGATGGGTCAAAGAAATGACCAAAGCAAGTCGCAATGCATCCAACCGAAGCTTTCGCGACGTGCAAAGCTCTTCAAAAAGACTTAATCGCCATAGGCCTTACAGCCTTAGTAGCACTTGTCTCAGAACCAGCCGAAGATGATCCATAGCAAAATCAGAAATATAAGCATCGCTGACCTCGGAATTACTCCTTCTGAGATGAACCGCACTCACAAATAGGTCATAGAAGCAAGCAAATGCAGGCAACACATTCGCCAGACCAAACAACCTGTACGTCACAATCATATGATTATGTACATTTGCATATGATCAAGTTGCTTTTGTGGTCCTTAGTATATAAGCCCCGTGTACTTAGGCGTGATTGCATTGAAGCAACGCAATGTACAGCCACCTCTTTTGCCGCCTCATAGTCTCTTCCATGATTGAAATGTATTCCATTGGCGATCTTCCTTCAGTGTTCTTACTCAATTGGACCTAGGAATGCCATGTCCAAACAAAAGCCATCTCGAACATGTCCTCTCCTGTGTAAGGATCCACCTCTGGAAGAAGCTCTGCGGCGGGTTTTTTCACAAGGAGCTTTTGCACTTCAAACCTCGAGCAAGACATCCAATCTGGTCACATTACGATGCCAATTCACGCTTATTCAGCATTGCTGTCCGAAATCAGGATCGCGCCAAACCAAAATATGAGTGTATCATGGGATTTTGGGTCAACCTATGCAACTCGTCAATTTCCTAATACATTGCTCTGCTAACCAAAACATACCAAAACAACTTATCCAGCCAAAACAGTTCTTGCACCGCAAAAACCTCCCACTCTGAGTTTCGTGAAAAAACGGCCCAACCCTTGAGGGGGGAGCTGGAAAATGCCATGAAGTCTCAGGAGCAGCACAGCTGGGCCGTCATCTTTGGACCCTTTGCTTTCTTCCTCTTTCAGCTCCGCTTCTGGCTTTGCACGACCTCTGGACACATTCAAGGTGCTGAACGTTGTTAGATTCCACAAAGGAATCAAAGCTAGAAGTTCGCATGCTTCGTGTCACACATTGGATTGCCCGGACCTTTTATGGGTGTGCGTCTTCTCATTCCTCCATTTGAGGCAGCCTCAAGTAGAACTCAGACTCTGATGGCGTAATCTTCAACATTCTAGCAGTTTCAACTGTGGTTCCGAGAATTGCGCACGTGCCATGTACACATAGGGCAGCTCATGCTTAAAAAACATGTTGGCAAAACTTGCAAGACTCCGGTGTCACTGTTGACACCCTCATTAAGCCAAATTGCTGACGCTCTGCAGGACATGCAGTCGAAAGGGTTCTGAGGACCCTGGGTGCAGAACTGGGCTGCGTCACTGTAGCCTTGGCTTTCGAGGCCGCTCTCATCGCTCAGGGGCATTGACTGAGCTTGTAGCCTTGCCAGTATAGACCCCGCAAGGTGTCCTCCTCCGGTGGAAAGATCGACCTCAACATGCGCAAGCCGAGACGGCGAGACTTATCCGATGTGACATGCAAACACAACAGGCTGTACAGCGTAGATGTCAAAAGTAATGCAACGTCTGCGTCCTGCATGTCTGTATCATGCACATGCATCTGCCAAAAACGGCATGCCTGAGCTTGTGAGACCAAAAGTGGCCTGAGAGAAAAATCAACATGTACTGTGTGTGTATGTGTGAGTAGACCACGGCTGGCAGCCCTCAAGGCCAGCGCGTCCCATGCGCTCCTGTCACCGCTCTCCTGGTGTCAGGGTGCATGCGGGGTGGGCACAATAGAGCCCAAGCACAGGTTATCAGCCCGCATGCTCACAACTGAGCGGTGAGAACGCATGGCCCTAAAGAAGGCCAAGCCAAATGGATCAAAGCTGGGGGGTGACAACTTTTCCAAGCAAGTCCAGCGGCCAAAGGTCGCAAAGCGGCAAAAAGATCGCTGTGGTGGGGGGCAAAGCTAAAGACCTACTCATCCAGCGCCGCCAGTGGTGCTGCCTGGCGGGCCATGTTCTATTTGTGGCTTCAAAAGCGCCACTGCTGAGCCAGCGTCGCCGGCCTTGAAGTGGGGGGTGTGAGTAGACCATGGCTGGCAGCCCTCAAGGCCAGCACGTCCCATGCGCTCCTGTCACTGCTCTCCTGGTGTCAGGGTGCATGCGGGGTGGGCACAATAGAACCCACACAAAGTATGTATTATATATAATGATGTAGTACTGTAGTACAGTATATATAATTACATCTTATCGAATCTTATACATAATGTTCACATCATATTTCGTTGAATTTCCAAACATAGAAGTTGACATGTGTACTGTCTGAGTCGAAGCAAAGCGACCACCAGGTTGGCACCGAGGGGGCCTTGATGTCGCTTGAGGGGTTCCGTAAGAGTGCCGCGACACGGATCACCAAGTCGCTCTCCGTGCCTCAAACCAATTCAAACCTAGGCATCCTGTGCTGCAAACATCCACCCAATACCAAACCAGCGCATCATCAGCTAGCTTGGCAATCTAGTAGGTTCGAGGCCATCGCTATTAGGTTGGCAGCTACGAGCGACCGGAGTCAGCAACTCCATTCCAGCCTTTCCACGGCACCAGGACTTGCGGCCAAAACATTCCATCAAAGTAAGCATGCCCATCATAGCAGTATGGCCCAAATCCACCCAGCATCCTTACAAGAACCCAAACAGCACAATGTATTCAAACAAATCCTAGTAAGCAAAGGTGTGGAGAAGCAAGTTTTCTCTGAGACCGAGTGGCTGGTCCCTTTCCCAAGCGATTTCAAGAATCTAGCCAAAGGGTCCCTGTTCCACACCGCTAGTAAATCAACCTTCTCTTCCTGAAAGAAAACTAGAAGCTAGTAGTAACAGGTGCCTTACTGGTAGTAACAGGTGCCTTACTAGTAGTAACAAGAAGCTAGTAGAAACAAGTGCCTCACTAGTAACAGATGTCTTTCAGACTCTGAACCATTGCAAATCCCCGCGTCTTCCCACAACTTTGCAACGTGAGCTCGTTCCAAGCATCGGAACATGACAAGAAGCCCTCAGGGCATGAAAGACTGATTCCTTGGTGCTGTATTGATTGACCACTTCCGCTGTGAAGAAGGGGTACTTGAAGGATACCCGCGTCAGCAGAATACGAACCCGACCAGAAAGGCTTTTGTGTGCATTGTCTGGCATAGCCTGCCATCAGCTGCTGTCCAAAGGCCATAAAGTTGGGAGTGAGAGCACTTCAATCATATGCGTTCTATAGTGTTTCGAAATGCTTCCAAAGCCTTTTGCAGCACATCTTCCGCTGCAGGAAGCATTGCAAAAGGATTGTATTTGCATTCAGGCTGTTTCCTGAGCTCGAGCTCACGAGCTGTCTAGAGTTTGAATATGGACATAGATTAATATAGGAAATTTTGCATCAGAACGAAAGTTGCACACAAAATCGCTGAATCGGGAAGTTTTAGTCAACTGACCAAAACCATTCTTTGCATTTCTTTGCTACTTTTGATAAATTGTTGTATGATATGTCTTTGCTACTGGCCAAAGTGTCTGGACTGCTGATATGATTGAGCTTTAACATATTGTAGTCAGAATATTGCTTACAGTGCCGGGCCACGCCACGACCATTTCGAAGACATCTCTGACATTCAATCCGGTGCCCAAAGCAGTAGCCACCAGTGCGCCACCGCTTGAGCCGCTGAAGCTCAGATTCTGAGGGAAGTTGGTCTCGACATTCTGGCGGTGCGATAGCGGTGTGATAGCGGGATCAAATGGTCGTTCTTGTCTCAAAGAGATGAATAACGAAGGCAAGGGCCCCTTTAGTGAGGTCATTCAAAATGGAACCTCATTAAAGGAGGCCTTCCCTTCGTTATTATTCTCTTTGGTCTTGTTTCCTGCTGTGTTAAGACAGCGTTCTTGTGAAGAGTGTTCAGGGATTGGTGGAATTCCTGAGGCTGCTAGTGGCAAGTGTTTCATGCTGCCCCATGACTCATGCCCATGCCCCAATGTTTTCTTGGTGTCTCTGTCAATCTCCTCAGGTGTCACGTCGTCAGGGACCATGTGCTCCCGCAACCAAGCAGCGACCCCAAAGTGATAGCAATACCTGACGGGGGTGACGGCCAACAAGACTTTCATCCCAGACCATGGCACTGACTATGGCAAGGTAGGGCACATCCATCCGCTGGAATCAAAGGCAATGCTGACCTCGTCAAGAAAATGGGCATGTTACGCCGTGATCTGTACAAGAGTTGACTGTCTGATGGTTTCGTTGATGGATGGAGTCTGCAAGAGATGTTCGCACTTCTTTCATTGAGATCCCAGCTTTCCGGACGGACTGTGCCTTGGCCTCACTCTTGCCTTTGAGGAAAGCAACATAGTACAAAATGCAGGATCTCACAGATACCGAACTGAAGCAGGAACTAGGTATATAATCGGGTTCGGATTTAATTTAGGATCTTTTTTTGTTTTGTTTTGGGATTTTTTTTGTTTTTCGTGTTTCGTGGCAGGTGCAGTACTTTGTGGACCTTGAAATGCTACTTTGTGGACCTTGAAATGCACATTTCGTGGCAGGCGCAGGACTTTGTCGATGCTGAAGTGCGGATTTCGTGGCAGGCGCAGGACTTTGTGGATGTTGAAGTGCAGATTTGGTGGCAGGTGCAGGATTTTGTGGGACTTGGAGTGCAGATTTCGTGGCAGGCGCAGGACTTTGTAGACCTTGA